TTCGTCTCCCCATATGGCGAGCAGATCCCGTACCTCCCTTTCTGTCCATGCTGGAGCTCTTTTGCGATCCTGGGACTCCATCATGGTTACTTGTGCTGATGAGCTCTGCATGGTCACCTGTGCTCTCCACGCTGGGCAAACAGGAAATGAAATTCAAAAGTTCGCGGGGCTTTTCCTGTCTACCTGCTCAGTGCATCTGAGTTGAGAGTGCTGTCCAGAGTGGTCACAATGAAGCACTGTGGGATAGCTCCCGGAGGCCAATAATGTCAAATTCCGTCCACACTACCCCAAATCCGACCCGCAAAGGCCGATTTTAGCACTAATCCCCTCGTCGGAGGTGGAGTAAAGAAACCGGTTTAAAGGGCCCTTTAAGTCGAAAGAAAGGGCTTCATCGTGTGGACGTGTCCAGGCTTAATTCGATTTAACCCTGCTAAAGTCGACCTAAACTCGTAGTGTAGACCAAGCCTGAGGGATTGCAGCCTTATAAATTCTCCTCAGGGCTGCCGGGGGGGGTGGGGGGCAAGTGGGGCAATTTGCCCTAGACCCCGGGCCCCACAGGGGCCCCGCGAGCCCTGGCCCAGCGGCGGTCCGGGTCTTTGGCAGCATTTTGGTGGGGGCTCCTTCAGTGACTGAAGGGCCTCCCGCCACCGAAATGCTGCCGAAGACCCGGACCGCCGCCGGGTGAGTACAAGCGCCGCAGCTCCCCCGCTTTGCCCCAGGCCCCCTGAATCCTCTGGGCAATCCTGGTTCTCCCATTGTAGGAAACTGTACCATGCAATTTAGCAATCACTGGAGCTGGGACCAAAGCGGCACATAGCTGAGCTGCATATAGGACTTGGCTACACTCGAAACTCCAAAGCACTGCCGCAGGAGCGCTCCCGCAGCAGCGCTTTGAAGTGCGAGTGTGGTCACGGCGCCAGTGCTGGGAGAGAGCTCTCCCAGCGGTGCAGGTATTCCACCTCCCCGAGGGGATTAGCTTACGCTGGGGCACTGTTTACTCTAGTGCTTTACAGTCACTTGCTGCGCTCAGGGGTGTGTTTTTTCACACCCCTGAGCGAGAAAGTTGCAGCGCTGTAAAGCAGCAGTGTAGCCAAGGACATAGACCGGGGTGAAAGTCGCAAGCATGCAGTAGTTGTGCCCTGGTTTCCCTGCTCACTTGCAGTAGTGAGATGTCAGCAAGCAGGCTAGCCACCTGTGAAAAAGTGTGTGATAACATTAGAATGAGTTCCCTGCAAAGCTACACTGCAATCCGTGACCGTTTTGTCTGTATGCACAACTGCCTTCCCCACACTCCCGACACTCACCATGATTGGGGTGCTGGTGCTCGCAGAGCTGTGTGCCTAGAGTCAGTGAGAAAGTGATTGCTAGGTTGCAAAAGGCCCTTGTTACTGAAATGTTTCAATCGTTTGCTGGAATGTAACAATCCCTCTTCTGTGCATTGCCCACAGCAGCCGAGACCTTGAGGAACACACCACGCACCCCTGCCGACCGGCTTCGGCAGATAAGGAAAAAGCCTAGACGCCGCAAAGAAGACATGTTCAGGGAGGTGCTGCAGTGCGATGAGAGACAGACCAGGTAATGCAAAGAGTGCTGGGAAGCCAATGCAGCATTTGCTAGGCAAGCGACAGAGCGAATGATAAAAGTTATGGAGGATCAGACAGAGATGCTCAAGTCTTTGATACGGCTGCAGACTGAGCAGATCCATGGTCGACCTCCACTGCAGCACATGCACATATACAATTCTTTGCCAATCTCACCCCCCTCTATGCTCTCACATTCCTTTTCACTTCACAGCATTCCTGAGTTTCCCCATCACCCCACCCCCTCTCACAGCTTGGACAATGATAGCTGGAGCTACACACAGTTATGAGCGTTTTACCCTTTTTAACAATAAATAAAGGCTAAGGTACTTAATGGTACAGCGTTTTTATTCTGTGTTCTACAAAAGCGTATAGCAATCAATTGACTGTCGGGAACAGGCTTCTAAAGCATTTTGCTGCATGGATCTTGGGCCCCAAAATTGTACATGGATGCACCAGGGAAGCAACTCCAAAGCAGACATGTGTTAGTGCCCCTCATTGTCCAAGTGGTTCCTCAAAGCCTCTCTGGTGTTAATAGCAGCCCTCTGGGCTCCTCTGACAGCCCTAGCATCTGGCTGTTCAAACTGTGCAGCCAAGCGCTCTGCCTCAGTGCTCCACACCCGAGCAAACATTTCACCCTTAGATTCACACAGATTATGCAGAGTGCGGCACGTGGCTATGACCACAGGAATATTATCCTTGGTAAGGTCTAGCCTGCCATTGAGAAACCTCCAGGGAGCTTTCAAACGGCCAAAGGCACATTCGACTATCATGCGGCACCTGCTCAGCCTGTTGTTAAAATGCTCCTTGCTGCTGTCCAGGTGCCTTGTGTAAGGTTTCATGAGCCAGGGCTGTAAGGGGTAAGCCGGGTCTCCCAGGATTACTATGGGCATTTCCACATCCCCCACTGTGATCTTGTGGTCTGGAAAGAAAGTCCCCACCTGCAGCTTTCTGTACAGGCCACTGTTCCTGAAGATGCATGCACAATGCACCTTTCCAGACCAGCCTGCATTGATGTCTGTGAAATGCCCCCACTGATCCACAAGGACCTGCAACACCATGGAGAAGTATGCCTTCCTATTGATGTATTTTGAGGCAAGGTGATCTGGCGCTAAAATTGGAATGTGTGTGCCATCAGTTGCCCCACCACAGTTAGGGAAACCCATCTCTGCAAAGGCATCACTATTTCATGCACATTTCCCAGAGTCATGGTCCTCCGCAGCAGGATGTGATTTATTGCCCTGCACACTTGGAGTAATACAGCCCCAGCAGTGGACTTTCCCACTCCAAATTGATTTGCAACTGACCAGTAGCAGTCTGGATTTGCCAGCTTCCACACAGAAATTGCAACATGTTTCTCCACCAAAGGGGCAGCTCTCATTCTGGTGTCCTTGCGCCACAGGTCGGGGGCCAGCTCAGCACATAGCTCCATGAAGGTTGCTTTACGCATCCTAAAGTTCTGTACCCACTGGTCATCATCCCACACCTGCATGACAATGCGATCTCACCAATCAGTACTTGTTTCTCTAGACCAAAAGTGACAGTCTACCATATGCAGCTGCTCTGTGAATACCAAAAGCACTGATAAGTTGCTGCTGTCACACTTGGCTGCCTGCGATTCATCCTCTGTCAGTAACTTTGCGAATAACTCTGCTGCCATGTGCGATGTCCTCATGACAGTTAACAGCGCATAGGAGAGAAGTGTGAGATCCATCCTCTCTCACTGCAAATGCTGGCGTGCACTACTGATTGACAGCTGGAAAAACGGCATGAAAGGAAAGCCAGAACGGCGTGAAAGGAAGCCAGGAACCATTGGAGGGCTGGGACACAAAGCGGTGCATGACGGGACATTTTGCATGTCCCAGGATCCGCCGCACTCCGTTTCTGCCTTCCCACACCTACCGACAAATGGTGTCACCAGGCACTATGGGATACATATCCACAGTGCATTACTCATGCTGTTGACAATGGTGCCCCGAATGTGGACACGACCTATCGACAGAGGGAGCAAATATAGACTCGCTTTGGCGACTTTGCTTTTGTCGATTTTTTTCGTGTCGACATTAGTTTCATCGACAAAACTTACCAATGTAGAGAAGCCCTTAAATTCTTCCTACTGCACCTTTTTCACACAAAATTCACCTTCTACCCCAGGAGATTGACTTCCTCCCTGAAGGTTGCTGCTGAGCACAGCTGAGAAGCAAATGTAGCGGGGAGAGTAAGAGTCTTGTATCTGAAGGTGGCAGGATTGGGAAAGATGCTGCTGTAACAGGATTACTGCTGTCTGTTCAGTGCTGTTAATATTTGACAAGGGACAAATTACCTGGCTAAAACATCATCCCTCCTAAAAAGCCTCCTCACAATCGCACACACTGCGCCTTCCCAAATCCATCAGTGATTCCATCTCTCCTTCAGCAATACTTTCCCTTCACCAGCACTACATGGAGATTCTTCATGATGGCTCCCATAGCTTCCAGTAGATAGTAGCAGAATGTGGGGCGTGCTGCAGCCTCTGCTAGCAGCAATATATTACATGCGGGAATATCTTCCTGGCTAATTTGGCAGATGGGGAGCATGGTCTTGGTATTTAGCTGGGCGATAGGGCCCCCTTCGGCTCTTGAAGCAGGCAGAACTCCCCTAGTTCAGGTGGGGCATAGTTTCCTTAGGCTGGTTGATGAGGAAGGAGGCCCGTGCTCCATCCCAGTAGCAACTCTTCAGACCCCAGGCCTGCAGAAATCAGCCCAGAAGGAGGCAGGCCGGCTACCACACCCACAGAATTTTCCACTTGCTGCACTAGGGGTTTCAACTGCCAAGCAACACAGAGCAGATGCAGATCCTCCCCGGTAGCAGACATGAGGGTGGGAAAGGTAGGGCCTGCCCCGGCCAAACCCCAGCGCTGTGCCCACACGGGGTGGGACTTGGGAGAGCCATGGCCAGCACCCTGAGCAGGCTGGAAGCACATTCACGAGGTGATCAGCAGCTGGGAGCAGCAACCTTGGTAGGACAGTCCTTGCTAGGCACCCCCTGCAGCCTCCTCGTGCCTCTCACTGCACTGCCTACTGTATTTTCCACTCCCTGCATCTAATGAAGTGGGTTTTAGCCCACGAAAGCTTATGCCCAAATACATGTTTTAGTTTATAAGGAGCCACAAGGACTCCCCGTTGCTTTCATTGCAGAGACTGGCCGCTACCAGCCTGTCCCCAGCCGCCCGCGGCCACAGGGGGCGCGACGTTACTCTGGGTACCGCAGCTGCAGAGTAAATACGCGACAAGGCAGCCCCGCCCCAACACTACAGCCGGGAAGGGGCGGGGCTCTTCTCCGTCTCCGCCCTTCTGAGACAGGAAAAGGGGGCGGGGCTTCCCGGCGGGAGCTCCTCTTTGTCCCCTCCCTTCGGGGGAGGGCGGGACTCTGCCCGTTAGGGCTCTGCGCGGGCGTGTCGCTTCCGGTTCCGGCGCTGGTCGCGGGCGGGCGGTTTGAAGGCGGGGGATGGCGGGCGCGGGGCTGGACGCGTCGCTGTCGCTGCTGGAGGCGGAGAGCAGCCACGGGGCGGCGGCGGCGGGCCCGGAGGAGCTGCCCATGGTGTTCCTGTGCGCCGGCTGCAAGCGGCCTGTGGGGGACACGCTGGGCTGGGTGGCCAACGACGAGGAGACCGGCTGCGTCCTGCTGCGCAGTGAGTGCCCCGGAGCGTGCCCGGCTCCAACCCTCCCCCACCGCTGGCCGAGCCCCTTCCCTCCGCTCCTGCCCGCGCCCCGCCCCGCCCCCCGCCGGTGACCGTTAGTGACGGTTGGTCCCCGTCTGTCTGTTGCAGGCGCCTCCCCCAACGTCTCGGTGGAGAAGGAGCAGAAACTCTCCAGCCGGCCCGGCGAGTGCGGATGGTGAGTGACCGCGGGGCGCCCCGGGCCCAGGGGAGTCCGGCAGCGCCGAGTCACGGCTGGGATCTGCCCAGCGCATCCCCGCACGGCCCCGCCTCAGCCACTGTCTGATCCCTCGGGCCGGGTCAGCCTGAACCCCCCTCGCCTCCCCGGGCCCGCTGCGGGCTGGTTTTGGAGCCGCTGGGAAAGGTGCCGCGTCGGTGCGGCTATTGGCCTTGCTGCTGAAGAGACTCTCCCAGTCCGAAGGGTTTGGCTCGGTGACTTCAAAATGTCCGCTGCCCAAATCGTAACCAGGGAACAAAAATGGAAGAAATTTTGTTCAGTTTTTTTATAATCAAAAAGGCCCCACGCATCTCAATTGACCAATAGGCAAACTCTCCTATAAAGACCCACATAGGGCAAGTGCAAAGGATCTTGCCTAACATGACAAAATGCTGCTTGGGTGGGAGGCAGAGAGTTAGGACTAAACTAAACCAAAATACCAGTTGGGAAGTCAGTTTTGCCGGGGATAGTCTAATGTACGCTGCTATATAGATGAGGAATGTTCCCTGGTAAGATCCTGGATAGGGTTCAAAGGTTGTATATTTGGAACACAAATGAAACAAACATGAATCTATTCAAGACTAGGAGTGAATAAGTTAGAATCAATTTAAATGTTGTCTAAAGAAGTGGTTACATATTTGCTTACAGCATGATTGAAACTTTATTCTGCTCTGGCTGTTCAATGACCCTTGGGAACATCTACAGATGCACCCCAAAACATCTTGACTATAAGCGAGACTTATTTTGCTTCAGTGTTGACTCTATTGAAAGGTAAGGATGAGACATAATGGTCTAAGTTGTCAGATAAATATGCTAATTGTTTTTTGCCTTTTAGATTGAGTGCCAAGTAGTTTGGGATCATTGCTAACACTTTTAGTGATCAGATAATTGTGCAAAACTTGTGTTAGGGAGAGGATGGGGGTGGGTATTTGGAGAAGGTTATGGATTACCTCTAAATTCCTTTTGTTCAAGAGCAGTGTTCTCTGTTAATGTCTCCTATACCACAGCACTTAAGTTGTGAAAACATTCCAGGTACAGTATAATATTGCCTAAGACCTGACATTTACATATCCTGGGTGTTCTTTTTTATATAATACAACTTACAAGTGTGTAAAATTACACTAGGTACCCAACATAGCGAGAAGGTGCCTCTACTTCCAGTCTCATTCCAAAGACAACTGCACATAGATACCACAGTGACTGGTCACTAAGTGCAAATGGACTCGGATCTATCTTAAGTAAAATTTGTTCCATCTAACCTCAAGGACAAAGTTAGCAGGACGACAATGTGGTGGTGAAATGTGGGTATGCTGATGCATTGGCCTTGTGCTTAAAGCTGGAAGTTCAGGTGCCGACATAGCTACAATATTTGAAATGCGTTTTTCATTATGCTAAATAGATGATTTAAAACATTCTTCGGTATCTAAATCCTGGACTAAGTTGTTGTTTAACAGTGTAGACTGATTTAAATCTCTCTCAATCTTGTTTTGCATTTGTATTTTTAATTCTTTTCCTAAGGCAAGGTTCATTCTCATTGGTTGCTAACCATTAAAACATGTTGATTTGCAGCTAATTTTTGTGCTTTTTGCTAACCAGGAGCATATGCTATCTATATGTTTAACCAGTTATATAGCTTAATATAAGTTTATTGAGATTGTGCATCTTAACTGAATTTGAATTTCCACAGAAACAGTGCTTAAATCACAAGTAAAAAATTAACAAAGTAGCTTTTTGAATTCTTTTAGTTAAATAAAGCTACCTTAAATGTGCTGGATACAGAAGACATTTTTATTAAGAGTTTTGCATTTACAACTCACCTAATAAACAAAGGAAGTATTAGCTTTAGTTAGTGAATTGAACTGATTGGTTCTGGTCACCATGTTCTTCATGAGTTTAGAACTAATAGTTCTTCGAGTGCTTGCACATGTCCATTCCCACATAGGTGTGTGTGTTCCCCGAGCACTGTTGCTGGAAATTTTCCCCCAGCGGTATCCATTGTGTTGGCTCTAGAGCCCTCTAGTGCTGCGCGCACATGATGCTGATATAAAGGGCCCTACCGACCCCATTTCCTTTCAGTTTCTTCTTACTGCCTGTAATAGTTGGCTGGAATCCTTCATTGCTCTTAGGCAATTTTCTCCTACTGGTTTTTCATGCTTGTTTTGGTGTAAATAGTTGTTTAGTACTTTTAGATAGCTCGGACGCCTCCACACTTGACTTGCAGGATTGTCTGCCTTGCTAGTGTTGGGGCATCCCGGGTTTCAAGCCCTGCGCTGCCTGCTGTAAGTTATGTCCTTGAGCGACCTCCACTTGAGCAGTGCCTGCAGGAAGCTCATAGAAAAGACTGCTGCCAAATCTGCAGAGACCTCAGGCTGCAGACCAAAAAGGAGTGAGTGGCCCAACTGAAGGTCCTCCTCATGGATGCAGCCTTAAAGCCTGGCTTTGAAGCTGTGCTTGGACTCTGCATCAAGCACCTCAGCTTCAGTGTGGAGCATTTCTCCATTGACTTGGGACTCTTGGCACCGATTGCCCTCCTCCGTGCCTAAGAAGAAGCACCGCAAGCACCAAGAGAAAAACAGGTCTCCGGTGCCAAAATCTGAGAGACCGGGGGAGAGCAAGATCCAGGCCGGACTGCTCGTCTCCCTTGGCACCACAGTATCAGGTGTCGGCAAGTCTGATGCCACAGCAAGCTTCTCTGACACCTACAAAGGAGCAGTGTCAGAGTAGACAATACACTAGCCAGTTTGTGGTGCCGTCAACTCCTGAGGCGTTCACAGCAGCCAGGGACCTTCTCACCCTACCAGTACTGGGATCCCCAGAGGATCAAAATTCTGCACCACCAGTGCCACAGAGAGGCAGGGAGCCACCCCCTGAGCCTCACCTGGGGCTGTGACCACTGTCTAGGAGGAAGCCCCTGTTATCAGTCACAAGATTGTCTCCTAGACTGTCTCTGGCTCCAAGCAGCATGATACTGCTCTGGTCTCCGCACCACAGATCGGAGTCTTTGTCAGACTTGAAGGTCAGGCCCTATTCCATCCTTGACATAGTTGACGTTGCGGCTCTCTGGGCTGTTCGTAGTATACCACGGCCCCATCTTCGGCAGTACTATGCCTTGGGAGGAAGCCCACTGGGCCTTGCTCCGCAGTCTGTCCTGATGTCCTCTCCAGACAAGGCATTAGTGACACCAGGGGCCTCCCATCTGCAAGACAACAACAAATCCTCGTACACCTTGTGAAAGCTGGTAGCCTCCAACTTGAGGAGATTGCGCATAGACTCCTGGACATCTTATCACCTGTGGGACCCTCTAGAGTGGCCCTACCTCTGCATGATGCCACTATGAAACTGATCAAGGCACTGTGGCAAACCTCTGCCTCTCACCCTCCACTGGGATTCCTGGTTGTTGCAGCTGCCAATGAGAAGGACCACCAGGGAAAGACTGCTCCTATGCCTAAGGCAAAGGAACCAAAGAAACTGGGCCTGTTCGAATGGAAGGCATATTCCACAGAGGGTCTTCAACTTCGCATAGCGAACCAGCAAGCCTTGCTGGGTTGTTATGATTTTAATATGTGGGAGTCCATGATTAATTCAAGGACCTTCTCCCACAGGATTCCATGTAGGAGTTTTCCTCCCTTGTTAAGGAAGGGAAAACTGTGGCTCGTGCCTTCCTGCATGCTGCTGATTCTGCAGCCAGATCAATGGCTACTATAGTGACAATGCAAGGAGTTCGTGGTTGAAGTCCTCACGGCTACCTAAAAAAGTGCAAGAAATGATTCAAGGCCTCCCGTTTGAGGGCACATCACTCTTTTTGGAGCAAATGGATCACCGGCTGCATGGCTTCAAGGACTCAAAAGCAACCTTGAAATCCCCGGGACTTTATGTGCCAGCAGGGTCAAGAAAGCAGTACAGGCCACAACAGACAGCCTGCTACTTCTGTCAGCCTCCTCGGCAGGACCAACATAGGAGGAAATATAGGGTGTTTAGACACAGACCTCCTCCCCTGACCTTGTCAGCAAGCCTCATTCAACCCGGACCCACGCACTTGGTATCTGTTTTGACGAGATGCTCCAGGTTGGCACTATCCCCCCTGCATCGGATCCAGCTACCCCCCTTATTTTCCAACCACCTTTCCTACTTCTTGGATGCCTGCACTCAGCTCACATTGGACTGCTAGGTCCTTAACACAATAGAACTGGGTTACACCATCCAATATCTTTCTTCCCCTTCCCTCTGTCCCCCTTCAGGGACTCTTCTCGTGAGCATCTGTTGCAACAGGAAGTCCAATCCCGCCTTTGCATGGGAGCCCTAGAAGAGGTTCTGGCTAACATGAGAGGGAAGGGGTCTTACTCCCTTTACTTCCTAATCCCAAAGCCATGGGTGGGCTCAGACACATTTTAGACCGGTACCTCAAGAATGTAATGTTCTGCATGGTCTCCTTGGCCTCAATCATCCCCTTGTTGGATCCAGGAGACTGGTATGCCATCCTCGATCTAAAGGAAACTAATTTCCACATCTCAATCTTCCACTGCCACGGATGCTTCCTAAGGTTTATAGTGAATCAAGCCTGTTACCAGTTCTCAGTGCTCCTGTTTCGCCTGTTGGCTGCCAAATGAGTCTTCACCAAATGTATGGCAGTGGTAGCAGCTTTTCTCAGAGGAAAAAAAGGGAGTCCATGTCTTTCTGTATCTATATGACTGATTAATCAAGGGCTGCTCCAGAGATCCCATCCTGCCTGGGACTTGAGCCTCATCCTATCAAGCTCACTGAGCCCCTGTTTGAACCATTAGCATCATGCTCATTGTTACACACTTCTTGGAAAGTGGCCTTCCTGGTGGCAATCACTTTCACCAGAAGAGTCGCCGAGATCCAGGCCCTTATATTGGAGTCCCCATACACAGTCTTTGTTAAGGACAAGGTACAGCTGTGGCCACAGCAGTTGTTCCTTCCTAAAGTTGCTTGACTACAGTGGAACTGAGACAAACTTTTTACCAGTATTCTATCCTAAACCGCATGCAAATAGAGAAGAACAGCATTTCTACGTACTGGATGTCCGGAGGGTCTTAGCTTTCTATGTGTAAAGGACCAAGTCATTCTGCAGGTCTTCTCAACTATTCATAATGATGATAGAAAGAATGAAAGCTCTCCCCATCCCTGCACAGAGACTCTCTTCGTGGATCACCTTGTGTATCCAGGAGTTTTACAAGTTCACAGACATCCCGCCCCTGGCTATCCTTACAGCTCACTCTACAAGATCCTAAGCTGCCTCCGCAGCTTTCCTAGTGCAAGTTCTGATTCAGGTCATCTGCAGGGCAGTGACCTGGTCGTCCAGTCACACAGTAATGACGCACTGTGCCATGATTCAACAGGCTAGAGAGGATGCTGGCTTTGGCCAGGCAGTTTTGCAGTCAGCCTGTCCTTAAACTCCAAATCCACCTTCTATACAACTGCTTGAGTCACCTATGGACATGTGCAAGCACGCAAAGAAGAAAAAACTGTTACTTTCCGTAACTTGTTTTTCAAGATGTTGCTCATGTCCATTCCAAGACCCACCCTCTGTCCCCTCTTTGGAGGCGGTTGCCAAGAAGAAACTGAAAGGGAACGGGGTAGGCAGTGCCCTTTATACCAGTGCTGTATGCATGCAGCACCAAAGGGCATTAGAGCTGACCTGATGGATACCACTAGGGGAGAAATTTCCAGTAACTGTGCTCAGGGCGCGCACGCACCTACATGAGAATGGACATGTACAGCACATCTCGAAGAACAACAGTTACAGAAAGGTTTAGTAACCATTTTATCTCATTCTCTCATACCTAGTTTTTATTCATAGATTGGAAGAGGAAAACAGTGTCCTTGTTTTTTCAACTCCCAACTAGTTACTTAACTTTGAATGAGTCAGTCATTGAACTGAATTAGATTGATAAACTGAAATGAAGAAAATGTTCTCTGCACCTGCAGAAGAGGCTACTGCTGTTAAAGGTGGTTTAGCACTTCAGCAGGCTGTTCCAATATACTTATCCAGTGACTTCCACAAGTTCAATGGTTTGACATTCTTTAAAACTTCACAGCAACCATGTACTGTTTACTATTGCTTTGATTTAGATTAATAGATAATAGTAAGTTGAGGCCTTAACATAAGTTGTCATAATTAAAATTTTTAAATACGTTCTTTAAGTTAAAATAAACCAGTATGACTTAATTCTGTTTTTATTTAAAAAAAATCAATATTTTGCTCACATTGATTAATAGCATAAGCTTTTTTGATCACTGCAGTACTTCACTCTGTCACTGTCCTAGAGAGCTACTTTTATTGCTAAATGGTTCTTTAACTTGGTTTCCTTGTTTTGCATTTACTGACAATCATGTGAACTGTAACTCTACCATATTAGTTACATCCTAGGATCCTCAGAAAAACAAGCTGTAACTGATGATGAACCTTTAACTCTTGAAAGTCGAGCTGGCTTAGAAGAGGCAATAGAAAGGGTAAGATTTTGTTTTAAGTAATTCAGCGTTAACTACAATTTAGGAAGATTTACAGGCAAATCAAGAATAATCCCACTTAATCACCTATGAGTTCAGCCAAACTCATCTTAATTTTTATGCATATTGTCATGTTTCATTTTTATATAGTTAACTATAGTCTATTGTGTGTGTATAGTTCAGAATTTCTCTCTCGATGCGATTTTTACAAACAAAAAACTTGTCACTGATGCATTTTAAGAGATGTTAAGAGTAACAAGGGTTTCTTCAGGTATGTTAGCAACAAGAAGAAAGTCAAGGAAAGTGTGGGCCCCTTACTGAATGAGGGAGGCAACCTAGTGACTGAGGATGTGGAAAAAGCTAATGTACTCAATGCTTTTTTTTGCCTCTGTCTTCACAAACAAGGTCAGCTCCCAGACTGCTGCACTGGGCAGCACAATATGGGGAGAAGGTGACCAGCCCTCTGTGGAGAAAGAAGTGGTTCGGGACTATTTAGAAAAACTGGACGTGCACAAGTCCATGGGGCCGGATGCGCTGCATCCGAGGGTGCTAAAGGAGTTGGCGGGTGAGATGGCACAGCCATTAGCCATTATTTTTGAAAACTCA